TTCTCAAATCTAAGTGATGGTTTCTCAATTCCAAATGACAGTTTCGCAAATGAAAATTATAGTTTCTCAAAGCTATCTTAAAATGGTGTAGAAAGCCACAGGTTCCTCTACCCGCCTAACGATCATGTGTGTGTGTGTTGTCAACGTTTTTATCGCCCATTTAGTAAGATGCGTTTTCATAGACCCGTCTGTGTTGTGTCACCGTGACTGCGCGTAAACTGGTACGCATAGAGCGATACTCAACTAGCTAGCCAACAAATCAACTTCGTGGAGGTAAGCAATAAGTTTAAGTAAAGCAGCTCGAAACTCTGGTCAATAGGACTTACTTCAACGTTTGGTGCGCACCGCTCAGAAGTTGATACTTTAAAAGTTGATTCTGGAAAGCCAGTTTAATCTCTAAGAGTAGTTTACTATCAATATTATTGAATCTGTCTGTGTGACCTTTCCGTAGCGATGTTTGCTTGAAGACTTCTGCATACCATTCCCATGCACGCATTCAGATTGGTATAACATAAACGACACAGCAGTGTTTGGCAGGGGGTAGCTCAGTACTGGCGGTCGGAAGCGGTTACCTGAAATCACAACAGAGTAAGCCTCAGAAACCCTGCACTTATTGAACCCCACATGGGTTGTGCACCAGTAAAGTGCTACTTTCCATCTCGATTTGCCACAGCGACCTTTTCAAAGGTAAGCAGAAAGCACCGCAATAGATCTCAGTACTGAACTTTGTGCTGGATCGCTAGATCGCGTTTCTGGAGAACCAAAACCCACTGACTTAAACACAAACTAATTTTCATTTTTGTCCCATTTCTATTCCTCATTTGGGCTGTGTAACTGAATCACGATCATGCGGAAATCGGCTTCCATGCCAAGCGACCGTTCTCCTTCCTCCGGATGGCAGACGGCAGCAAGAATCGTGTGGTTTTAAGTACGACATCTGCATGGTTCCTTATTTTTTAATACATAACTTATATTACCATTTATAGATAGATAATTGCGTTGAGAGTGATATAAACCTTTGGACACCCACCTTCCCTGGTCAGTAAAACTATTATCCTTGCTGCCACATCCAGGAAAACAAAGCACCTGAATCACAATAGGGGGGTGGATCTCCGATAGATGGTGCTGTTTACATCCAACAACTACTTGGAAGTTTGAAACGGATTTCAGTTACTGTTTTCCTATAATTTGCATCACCCTAAATTTCATCTACCCACCCCACACCCCACCCGTCCGTCCGTCCGTTCCCTCGAATTGGCTAACTTGCAGATTTGCCAATATTCTCGGTTGTCACAAAGGTTCCGAAATGGATATCATAAACTGTTTACGATCAAAAAGTGTGAACGACATTCTGGACGCGCACAACACCATGTTCGATCCGGACTCCTATTTCTACGTCCCTTTCCCACCAGTGTTGGACAACCATTTTTTGCCCTATTCGGCGCCGAGCACATTTCGCCAGTTGCATCATCTTAAACCGGATGGGGCACTGATGTTCGGGATCAACAAGAACGAGGGGTCTTACTTCTTGCTGTACGCGTTTGTGCAAAATCAGCATTGGCGACGGGAACAAACCCAGTTACCCATTTACAACCGGTCGGATTATTTGCGTTGTTTACGTCGTGTCCTCGATCTGGACGATGATGATGGACCGGAATACACAGAACCACTGGTTCGGTACACGGATTTTGAGTACGAGACATACGAATATCTGGTACGTGATTCTCTCTGCCTAGATTTTACCTGACACACAGCCTGTACATGCAGAGTTACACGACAGACGCGTGTTAGGCAGGAGAATCAAGTGTTACGAACAAAACCACTGTACCATTCTGCCGTAAAGGGTGATAGGGGAATCGATTCAGCTGTTCCACACATTTGTTTGACAGTTGGGTGTATAAGTGCAAATAGGACCGGGGGCACAGCCAACAACCGTATAGTTAATATAATTAGCACTTGTCGATTTGACCCACTAGCAAAGAGTGCAGCGAAAAATATGTACGCAATGTAATGGTATTTTTCATTGAATTTTTAGCATTGGCTTAGAAGAAATTGATTTATCTCGAACCATACACCGGGATAGAACTACTTAACTACATGAACTTTTATGTTATTCTATAGTCAGGTAAAGTTAAAATAAACCTAATTAACTTGACGGAGAAATTTTCAGCGATCTTCACGAGAAGGTAGTGGAAGTGGAGAAAATTCAAAGGAGTGTGAAGAGGTTAAAGAAGACAGCACACTGCGAGCAAGAAGATGATTGGAAGATATTAAAAAATAAACTATTTCATTTGTTGTTCCACCAGACCTGTAATACCTGGGGCCCCTGTTCACGGACAAAGACGGACAAAATAAGGGGGGATACTGTTTCTGTATGAGATAGCACGTACGGGAAACAAATTATAATGCGGGCGAGGAGGGAGGGGGTAGGGGAGAAACTGGGTTTAACTTCAATTTAAGAAGTTTCTTGTGCAAACAGTGATCTTCATTGCTCAATCTCCAATCGGCTTTTCTTTGACATGAGTCCATCCATATACCTGCAGCCAATAAAAATCAACCAGGACATTTCTGGCTATAACACATCAAAAAAGGAGTTTCATAGATCTGGAAATTAGTATGATATCGTTTTATTTCAAGTTAAAAAAAAACAAAAAAAAACAGTGCAGCCAATAAGAGAGGATGCATGCGACGACAAATTTGACAATCATCTTATGGTCAACAGCCTGGAAAGCATACAAATAAAGTTTACCAACCGCATTGTACACATTCTCTACATGGCTAGACCAGAATAGATCGTATGATAGAACGACTCTGAGGTATTTAACGGAGCAGCTTTGGGAATACTGTAGTTGTTAAAGACTAGCTCAAGTAAATCAATAAAAGTATTTCGATAACGGAAGCTGCATCTAGGGTTAACGCGAACATCAACACATTTGAAAACATTAAGCATAATCGATCGGGGCATGGGCCAACTAAAAACGTTGTTCGGACTCTCTTGAAGCTGGTGGAAAAATAGATGGTTATTGGCGGGGCACCCAAGAACCACATTGCCGGCATAACTACAGGCAATTAAAGATGGTAGGGACATGAAGGTTGTTTGTGTAAAAGGATAAAAGGAGTGAAGATAGAATGGCACCCTGAAATACACCAGAGTTAATGTAATATGAGGGTGAAGTTTTACCATCTCATGACGTAAATTGCGTCCTATAACAGAAATAGTTTACAAGAAAATTTAACATACCGTATCCTAAGTCGTAATCAGGATGACGTTGAATGAGGATGTGATGGTGATAAAGTTCACTACGGAGTTTAGGGTAGAACAGAATTGTTCAGTGGTCGGGTGTGCAAAACGAGGCCGATTTTTCTATAAATGTTTCTATCCTCTGGGATGTGTACTAAGATTGCGGAAAACTGGGCCTCCAAACGAGTAAGGAAGTGTACAAGATTACCAAAAGCTACCATTCTTAAGGTAGAAATATGTAAACGATTAAAATCACCAACTGCAGTGCACAAAGACTGCTTTAAGCCAGTCACAAATTGTCTTAAGAAAGAGTCGGAAAAATTTTGAATGTCAGAGGCAACGTAAACGTTTGCCAGCAAGGTATTATAAAATTCACTAGGAAAGCGGAGCGTACATTGAACGACAATTCAGTTGATTTTTCTCGTATTAAATTAAACGAAATATGTGAATTGTTTCACCACATATCGTTGACAAAAGCAATTTCTTCACCACGTCTGTTGTTAAAATTCACATTGCGATCGTCACGGAAGGTATCAAATTCACCCATTCATCAATTTCAGGATGTGACCAACTTTCCTGAAGCATCATTGTTTCAACCGTACTGTACATTTTGTCTTGTATCATGCTCTCAACTTCATCAATTTTTCCCACAAGTGAACAGATGTTACCGGAAACAATAACGAGAGCAGTCAGTTCATTGATGAACTGTCACTTAAGAGCCACCTCAGGACAGACAGCATTTGACCTTGAAAACTAAATGAATGAACTTTATAAGTTATATCGAGAGGATAAAGACGTTTTCCACTGTAAAGTTACGAAAAGTATACCCGAGAGTAGCCACAGCCGAATTCGAAAGCTCCTCCCCAATGTTTTAGAAAAGAATGGCTGTTGGCCGACTCGATTTTGTTTTCCCGTCAAAAATTGACCGTCATTTTCATCAAGCATAACCCATGAAGTTTTACGTGATGCCGTTTCATTCCTTACTACTAATTGTTCTCGGTGATTTTGCTCCGATCTGTACAGCCTTCTTTGGCCACATGGACCGAGCGGCTGGAAACGATCAGTAGTGACCGAAGTTTCAAATGTCCCACCATTGATATGGCCACCACAGTTATGAACGAATATCGTTATTCGGGTAGAAGAGTTGCACACACCTTGCCCGTGTATTTCTACGAGTTTCAACACCGCACAGCTTCGGTTCCATGGCCCAAATGGACCGGTACAATGCACGGATACGAGATCGAGTATGTGTTTGGGATCCCGTTCAGTCCACAATTTCAAGCCACGTTCTATCGGTTCACAGATGAGGAACGGCGGCTGAGTGATATGATGATGACTTACTGGGCAAATTTTGCCAGGACTGGGTACGTTTCTGCAAATCAAATATTTCTGAGATCCTTTCAACGAATGATTGCTTGATCAGGCTGCAGTCTGAATACCATATTGCACCAAAACAACACATGACTTCGAAACATTCGTGCAGTATGGATCAAATACAACACACTTTAGTGAACAAATTATTGATATTCTATCATTAATTTTGATAAGCGTGCCATTTCTGCGGTTGAGTAAACCCGAGTACCCGGAAACCTTGGTAGTGAAATATTTCAGGCAACCAGTTCCCTTCAACAATTTCGTGAGAGCAACATGAAGCATCAGGATCACAGGATGAATTGAATTCAACTATTTCGTGGTAATCTCATCAGCAGATCACGTTTGGTTAAAGAGTGACAGGTTTGGGGATAGGCGAATACACGTGGGGAAGAGGAATCAATACGGACGGAGACCAAAGGTCATTAATATGAACCGGATTGGGCATTGGGGCAGGGAGCGGAATCACTGCAGGGTGGGGGGGGGGNGGAGGGAGACAGTGACATCTACCGGGGCAGCGCGAGGCTAGCCACAAAATCGGTCTGTTTACATAAATCGGGCTTGTAACGTCCAATAGCTGCCGCTTCGACGAACCGTAGTTAGCGGCTATCTTTCTGGTGGATCAAGACACAGAATGCTTCCCTAAGTTTGTCACATTCTTTGCAATCCAGTATATGTCGAGTGATTGAACTTGAGCATTAATAAACATTAATAAACAGGATCATATTGGAAACATGCAAGAAGTGATTTCGGATAGAAGCAGATTTGTTCCTGACCGCTCTGCACGTGACCGAACGGTAATTGCGCGTGAATTACATCAATTGCATAAGAATGGCCATATTAGTAAGGCCATAATTGCTCACTTCATCCCCCGAGGCTCTCGACTACCTCGTATGTATGGACTCTTCGCAATAGACAAGGATGGTATTCCACCACGGCCCATACTATCTATGATTGGAGCACCCATCCATAGTTAGCACGATGGTTAGCTAAACTCAATCAGCCAATCAAAGAAACGTTTTCGAACTACACTCTAAAAACGTCGTTTGAATTTGTTGAAAAAATCCGGGATCCGAATATTTCTCACAAACACATGGTCTCGTACGATGTTTGTTCCTTATTCACTAATGTTCCTCGGTGTGAGACGTTGTCAGTTCATATGCCTACGAACTCAATATTCTTACACATAATCTCCGAAAATTATTGCTTCTCTGTACCAAAGATGTACAGTTCTGTTTTAACGGAGATTATTATCGTCTGGTTGAAGGAGTTGCAATGGGTAGTCCACTAGGACCAATCCTGGCTGATATCTTCAAGGGAAACCTGGAGAATAGGAAACCGAGACAATACATAAAAAGCACAAACTTCTACCGCCATTATGTTGAGGAACATTTGTCATACTGAACGACAGCGCACAAGCACAACTAATGCTTAAAAAACTCAACCGTTCATATCCGAATATTAAATTCACGGTGGAGCACTAATACGGATCTTCCTTCCAATTCCTGGATGTCAAATTGACAAGAAAAGAGGACGGATCTCTAATCAGATCCGTATTTCACAGGCCGACATGAACGGGATGGTATCTTAATTTTAGAAGTTGCTGTCCAATACAATACAAACGGTCATTGATGCGCAGTTCATTCTCTAGAGCCAGGATAATCTGCTCCTGTGTAACGTTAGAGTTCGATGTTCGCTACATATCCACGGCACTGCACGAAAATGAATACCTTAAAACCCGTATTTCTAGGTATGGAGAGCAGTTTGATGTGCCTTATATACTCGTTTTATTAGTGGATTCTGACCTCATCGCGGCTTAACTGATTGTAGCACGTGACTAAGTTTTGTACCACCTACTTCCTCGTACTAAAAGACCATTTGTTGTGGGTGGTTTGTCCAAATCATGTTCTCCTAGAACTGGTCTGTGTATGAGACTAAGGGCTCATAACGAACACCTCTCAATTACAATAACACAGACAATAATCCGTTACTTCAAATACGTTTCACACACCAATCCGTTCGCTTTCAAAGCGTTCTTGAGCATTGGTTCAGTAGTTGATTTACTTCCCATACTACCTGTTGCTGCAACCGTTTATGTAAGGATTCTATGGTTTGAACAGTTTTTAATCCCCGTACTTCTGAGCCATCGGCGGCAAATTAACAGATTCATAAATCGGATGATGAGTTTGGATCAGAATAGCAAGTTGAGTATACGGAAGTGTGAAGAACCAAGGAGGCTCGCGTAGCACATTCCCGATGGCCGCGGTCATAATCAATCAATGACGGTAATCAGTGATCCTGCTGCTTTCCCACAATCCCCAATTGAGAAGCCTATTAAAAGTTATGGTTTTCACACTTGTAAGTCAAATATGGCTTACTGTGGAAGCCCGTGCGGAGATATGCATGACGCGTTTCTCGATCCTGTTGACTGATGGATACCAAGCATTTAAGAAATGGTGCTAACAAAACTTCCTCATATTCTTCTCCTATTGTTGACAATACTTGTCTGATCGTCCCAGAAACTATGCGCTAAGTAGCGCACACTGTAAATTTCGGACACTGGTCTTGGGCAGTCATCTTTCATCCGCATCGGGCATGTCCCTGCAAAGCAGAATCAAGTCACCCAAACTACTTCAGCATCCATCTTTCATGGGGGAACGGATATCATTGCTACGCCAAAGCAATATCAAGCTGCCAAATGCTAGATAAACCCGGAGTATGTTCGCTGGTAATTTTATTTTAAGTTAAGTATTTGGAAGAGATGTAGCTAACTAAGCACCATTCAGTTTCCTAAGTTTACGACTTTCCAATAAAATCAGACTGAGGTATTGAGAGCCGAGTTAACCCAATCCTATTTCGCACGTTTTAGGTGTGAAATGGAATACGATGCGTAAAACGTAGAGTACTGTGGAAATGCGGATATCGACGGGGAAGTTTTCCTTTTGGAGTAGCAATAGGAGTCTTAAACTAGAAAATCTAACAGGAAATACATTCACCACAATCGAAGCAGTCTATCATTGTTTCGCTATTTTCCTGTTGGATCTATAGATTTTCTCTATGCCCCCCCCCACCCTAAAATTGTAGTTCGAAATGGGGACCTACTTAATTGATTGATGGCAGCCAGGTTATAACAATTTATCACCTCAGAGGACGTCTGTCTTTAGCCAATATGTGTTGCATGGCAGCCATTTGATTGGTCGTTTCTCCCCTACAGAAAATCGTATCTTCTTATATGCATAAAAGCTACTGAAAATGAGAAAGAAGTCGAAAGACAGAATGCCACAATCCGCAGCCGTTTTCTGTGTACATTCGTTCTTTGTTCTTTCTCATTTCTACTTCCTTTTTATTGGACATACATACAATGATGAATTTAATGGTAGGGAGAAACGGCCAATCAAAAGGCTACAATACAACACTTGGGGAAACTCAGATGGCGGTAGTGGGGTTTGAACACACATCCTCTAGGGTGGTGATTTCGTAAAATTTACCACCGGGTCACCATCCCCTGTACGAGCTGAACTTAGTTCTTTGTCCACATGTGTTCCCGGTTTGGTCGAGATCGGGAGAACCGTCAGGAGTGCGATGTGTCCACACCCCATGTTCAATCTAATCCAGCTGTGGATGTAGGAACCGCATTTCGGCCCATCTGCAATGTTTGATGTAGGCAATTGAGAGCAGTGAATTACGGCATCCTAACCACGGTCAGAGCCGTACGCATTCGGAATCACAACCCCCCCCCCCTGTTTGNCACCCCCAATATGTGTGCGACTACTTGGCCTTATGACACTGTGGTCGATCTCACACATGCACACATGTTCTGAGTCAAACCTGAACCAGTAGAACTGCAATTTGCCATCCTCCCTCCTTATGTTTATTATATTATATTATTATTATTATATTACCAATATTTAATGTTATGCATTGGCCTGAGTGAATAACTAACTGAATAATAATATGTTCGCCACAGTCTGTCGTTCTCGATAATGTTTTTTCATTAGCGTAAGATCAAACGAATGGCTATCACCATGTGTACTGCTATTCTTATAATCATGCTTCTAACCAGGGACCCAAATATCTTGCCGGAAAGGAAACACGTATCCGATTTGAATCACGTGGGCATGGGCCCGCTGATGGGTGAAAAGGATAGCGAATTGAAGAATGTGGCGGATTATCTGAACCGTAATGGGTTGCCCACCTCACTGAGCAAAAGTGACTTCCTCGCCTGGCCACTATTCCTCAATCGGACCGCATACATGATTTTCAAAGCAGCACCAGACGAACTGTTTGTCGGGACTTCACCAAGAGAACGACAATGTCTTTTCTGGCGTAATTGGTATCCAGCCTTATTGCAACAAGGTTGGTTCATATGCCGGTTTTTCACATGCTGTATGTCATGGTAATTTGCATAGCGATCTTGTTCAAATAGCTGGGTGGAAGAGTAATGCAAGCTGATTTACATTCGTGTGTAGTGTGGACGAAGTCTGATTTTTATCAGAGCAATTCTATTGAGTTCATTTCTTGGACTGTGAATGCTCAGTTTGAAGGGAATTCGATTGCATGAAGTCTTTTGAATTTAGCACATCTTTGAGAGTCGTGGCAACTGGTATTCATTGCGGAATCCATAATATATTCAAACAAATCTTGTGAATTGCAAAAGTCACTTACCTAAGCAAAGCGCAAGTAACCCTACGGTGATTTTGTCCGGAACACAGTAGTCCAAAATATTATCAATATATGTATATACATGCTGGCTCTGATTTCCGAGTCCCATTGGATGCTGAAATCGTGATTCCCCATGATTTTATATGTTAGTAGTAAGTCTCACTCTGAACGCACCTTCAATGAATTCCACAACGCGTTATCACTTAGCACCATAAATTCATCCAAGTAGTTCGTATAAGAACGATGTGGCATGGGATGTTTTTGTTTTGACCTTTTACGTTTGATCAATATCGCTTCACTAAATTAAACTTTAAAATTGAACGTTCACATCTGGGAGAAGAACACAGTGAACGATTTTCTTCCTTGTGTCACCCTTTCCCCGATAATTTTATGCAGGAAGTTCTAGGCCTGTTGTGCTGCTTATCACATAGTGTATAAAATAAATCCAAGCGCTGACACGAATCCCATCTGTCCTGTTTGCTGCCCGCTATGCCCTTCTGAAGGAATCCGTTTGTCTCACTTACAAAACGTGTCACGACAATATCCAACATGCGAGAAGTTCCATGGATAAGCAACTACAAACGGTTTTGAAGCGAAGATTTATGAAAGAATCTATGGATGAGTTCATGCAATTAGTTAGCACACGGTAAACCTAGAGCAATTTCCAGTGAGATTTTAAAGCAGGCGGCAGTAAACAGTGCACCTGATGATAAGCTAATCTTATCCGATCGCACATGAATGATCAATATTTCTGATCGAACTAGCGACCATTGATCGATTTGGTGTTTTTCTATCATCGATTTGTACTTGTTGCGTGATTTGGCAGAGTAAGTAGTAGTCCATTTAACTTCTGTGACTTGTGTATCCTTTCCTATGGAGAATAACCGCAACAGAGATTTTCTGACGCAATTCAACAAACCATTTGAGATCCCGATAATGTGATAAATTGTGGTGGAAAGAAAACTCCTAAAGATCATCGGATAAAGCTGTTTGACTACAGGTCTATTGAAACATGCAGTTGCATCACCACGTTCATTCTTCGGGCCGTGAGAAATATGTTTGGAATTAGTTTGAGGAGCAAAACAATTGCGCTGACAACATGAAAATTGTACACATCTGCAGTCTCATCGTCGCTAATTACCATCCGTTTTTATTGTGACTTTGAGTCGCACATTCGCATCAAGAGTCTATCAATAAAAAGCCAATCCAGACTCAAAAATTTTGATACATTTTACAACCTAAAGCAGCTGACCTAAGTTGCTCTGAATGTATTTAGTTCCAATAGAAAAATACCACAGCGTATGCAACTTATTCCAGTGAAATTTCCAATCTCGCCTCGCAAACCAGTCACATGCAATATTGAAATAGGTCGAGGCCAAAGTGCCCGGATATGTTATCTTCACTTATGCTTCGGTTCTCAGATAATGTAGATAAAGTGGTACCGGTAGACCGCAATCTGACAAGTTTTCCGTCATCTGATGAGAGTGGCACTGCGGAAGAAGTCATTGGATTCCCTCTACTCCTTTGATCAAATGGGCAGTCAAAAAACAGCCACGAAAACCACATCCCGAAGGGACATGGTTAATGGTTTTAATAGATCAATCTGAAAACGGGAACTATTCACGACAATCACCAAAACTTTTTCCTAGTGGCTTTCACCCGATAGTTATTAGACCTTTGCTGTCATAATGAAACAACTATATTCTGCAATTACTATAAAATCCACAGAGTAGGAGTTCTATAACTTCATTTTAGACCGGGAATGTTTGGATTGGCCGATCCGGCTTTTCACAGGAACCAAGCACTATTGGTACTCTTGTCCTGTTTTGTCCTGTTTAGGCACTGTAGCTTAGGGGGTGAGGTCTCAACGCAGAAGGTTCGCGATTCGATTCCTGACTGGGGCAAAAAAGCTCACCGTGCTAACGAGTCCCAGATAGAACGAAACACCTGTTCAGTGTTCTTCTACAACTTCTGTTTATCAGGCTTCTAATATTCGCATAAAAGAATGTCATTCAACTGATATTTCTGCTCCCTTCACGTAAACGTTTGGCCCTCCTCTGTTCACAACTCTGGGTTAGGGTCACTTCGGTCAGGTGCCCTTGAGTAGATTGAACGAGGACACGATTGAAGCTCCGAAATGTGCCCATGTCTGCTAAGCTACTTATCACGATTTAATAAAAATTACACGTTATATCAGCGTCCCAAAACCGTTACTGACCGCATAGCAACACCCTGGACGCGTCAAAAGTGTCAGAGAATTATATTCTGTAATGCAAAATAATGTACGAATCGTACAGATAAAAGCACACTTTTTGTCATACATAACACAATCAGTGTCTTCACTGAATAAAAAAAGATGTCACTTTTCAAACTGATTGCCATTATGGACGCTTATGGTGCATGATTTTGTGTTTTTTCATGGAATCCATATAGCTGAATGGAGATAACGTTATAACGTCATTTTTTCATATACGATTTGAAGTCGAAATATGACAGCTTTCTTTCGGTTTGAAGGCATATTCGTTTGCAACCCTTGCCCCTTTTGGCTGTCTCGGTGTCAGGATACCAACGTGGACTCTGATTAAACACATGTGCCTTCGTGTGTCTTGTTCAATGTTTAGACGTTCAAATTCGAGATTTTTATTGGAATCATTCGTGACTTGTTGTAGCTTGGCAGCTCATTCTATTCTAGCCATTATCACGCCTTCCGATCACCTGATAGTTGCTCGTCTAAGCTTTGAAATTCCGAGTTTGTCCAGAATAACTATGTAAAAGGATTTTCATACAGCGCTGAATCTTCATATGATACTCTGAAACAAATTCAAATGTGTGCTCATGGAAACTTCCAGAACAAATCACGTTTCTCTGGGATACCCACATGAGTTGCTGTGGTGAAAACCTTTTCTTATCGTAAGGATAGCCAACCGCTGTCTTGTTTGATCGTCTAAATCCGTTAGTTGATTAGGATCGTAAATTCCGAATGATCAATGCATACAGGCGTGTGTGTCACGTGGTCGAGTTGACGTCCTCTGGATAAAGAAACAGGACGAGAGCCAGGCATCACTGTCCCATTGAACGCTTGCTAATCATGCTCGCCATCTTACTGATTCAAGAATAATGCATTCCAATATTATTGGTTTGACCTATTCGTTTGCTAATCCGCGATAACTCGCGCGGCAGTCACGCTCCGGTTGCGTTCTGTCTTGTGCACTGCCCTGTTAGTGTTTTTAACAGGTGCGGTCATTCCAATCAAAAGTTTAAGACCGAGCAGAATAAGGACAAGGACTGAAAAAAACAACCCCTTGGTAAACAGCCCTACATCAGTTTTTATGCACCAAGGTTTATACTCATGGTTTCTAAAAATAGCACCTTTCTTGAATCTGAGAAATCAGTGCACAAGTAAACACTTGATAAATGTAAAATAAAATCCATCGTTTCCTCTTTGTTTTAAGAATGCTTATGCTTAAACGAAAGGCGACTTGATCCTGAAATGACTATTTTCAGAACCGACCAAGTTAGTTCTCTCCACGAGAACCGTTTCAAAAGAGCACAAGAATAGGAAAAACATGATGATGATGAGTTAACAACACCAAACTGCTTTCCGGAAAGTCTCGGTGGAATTACTGGAAATTATCATATTTTAACTAAAAAACTGATTAAAATTTCAGTAGCAATATATGCTATCAGATTGGAACTAATCCATCGTTTATTACCTTCCGTGTTAGCATCGTCATCAATCCACTCGCTTCCTGTTAACGTTTTACTTGTGTAGGCATACATTTCTCGCTCGACTTCGGAGTGAATTTCAGCAGTATAATTACATTCGTTACTCAAATCCTTTGTTTTACACTAACTGTTAGTCTGAGTAGCGCCCAAGTCGGATCACGTGACAGGAAAACAATCACTATATCATTGGATTTTCGTATAACGTTGCACCTAAACACTACATCGAATGGACTTACAATGTGATACCATTTTCAGGAAAAACAAACAAAGCTCCTTGCAACAAATTTGAAACTCGAAACTTGCAAGGCCTCGACATTCAGCTTAATGCCAATCCTTGCGCATGCGACTCACAGTGCCCCGTCTCCTCAGCAATCTCAACTGTCTAATCTTACGGCAGTAGCTGTGTTACGGTGGATATTCTACAGAGGCAACTCTGAAGAGAATGCAAGGTTGTTGAATGACTTGAGGTTTTGATGTAGACCTCTTTTTTCCCAACTGTGTAAACTTTCATTCTGCGTACGTAGAATTAGGATTTCACTTGCTTTAAGTCGAGCCCATTCATGGGCAATCTAGCAGTGTCTTTGTGAGGTTTGGATTTGATTATATGAAGTACCTTGTCATCTTCATAAAAAGGTGAACGTGAACTGAAAGATGAAAAACACTTTACTGCTCTTTTGACTTTGATGTGTCTCATCGACAAACAATTTAGGTGAAACACCCATAATGTTCCGGTATGTGCATATAAGAACACTCCTTGACACATCAAAGCAACGAGGTCTACTAAGTGGTCCTGTCGGTCGGTGGTTTATTGCACGACCTGGTGGCTCACCTGTTCGCTCCACGCGTCATGGTTTGCTCATCTGATCAGCATCTTTTCACATCAATGAGTCTGTAGCAGTTTTATCGGCCACAAGGTGCATCCCAAAGGTAACGGTCAGGCTCATTCGCATTTCCTCATTCATTATCAGCAGACACGAGCAGAGTAGACTCTCCCACAAAATCGGTTCAGTGCAGACAGATCGTCCTGGAAAAATAATTCGTTTTACAATTTTTGTTCTAAAAATGTGTTTTAGTGTGCCCAGATATTCACATATTTCGGTTTAAAATTGGATCAGGATTTATCAAACTGTGCAAAAGTTGCCCTGTTTACGCGAAACTTCGTGATTGATCTATTGATGCGGTCCAGTTGCCTGATAGGATGATTAAACGAACGGTTTATCTGCTCCTAAAACGACAGGAATCAATGTTTTCTTCGTATCTATCTATCCGGGTTGAACTTTCCGGATACGTTTGTGTAAAAATGTATGGGGAGGTAGTGGAGATCACTCGGTGTCGATGTCCATTCAGTAAGTCCAATTAAATCACGTTGTTATTGATGCACGCATTCGGACAAATGCTTTATGCTAATCACACATTTCTGTATCTGTTTTACCCCTTTCCCCGCGAACTGAAATAAGATGCTGTTACCCTGTTTGTCTTTTTGTTCTTTCCATGGTTTGCGATAAACCGGACAGTTGAAAGCAAACGAAACGGATGCCGCTGATGATGTCACGTTCACGTTCTGGTTGGCGAACGCAAACCCGACGAGTTTGGGTTGACCAGAACCACAGCGAATAGAGAAGGGACATTCATGATTATTGTCTTTGTTTGCTTGCTTGCCTTGTGTAACAAAGTTTTTAAAAAATTATCCGTCTGGTTTTCATCCATGTAGACGAAACAATTCTATACTCTACCGCTTAGTTGAATAAATATATACCTGTTTACTCCCCTACCGTGTATTTTTCTGTCCGAAGACGACTGTACCTTGGTAAGAAACTCAGATCCTCTGGAAGTTGCTAAGCAGTAGGCTTCTCAATCATATAATGCGCCCAAATCGGAATGTGTGCATAACAGACTATTTTGGACACTGCTGTATCAAACTCTACGGTTAGTGTTGCCCTCGCTTATTCAACCCCTTGATAAGTGGGAATCTGAGTTCAAAAACCTTGAACCAACTCAGTATGGTTCCTTCAGTGTTTCAGATGAAGGATATGGTTCCCTGACCTACAAAATGACTATCGTGGTGGCTTCTTCAATATAACAGTCCAATCACTTTTTATTCAATGAAAGTATACTGAGAAATTACATGATTGAAATACCGATAACTTTTGTAGGTGGTTAAACCACTAACCAAAGAAAGGTTTCATAAATTACTGGCATGAAAGATGATACGTTAGGCGCGCGGTTGATGATCGTTTAGGGGTTATCCGATTACAAAGTGTCACAAACACCGGGGCAATCAGAGAAAACCATCATTCAAAAGGTTTAGTTTGTAAATTAAAAGGATATCTTGCGTTGGCATCAAGGTTTCACTCAGTTTTGAATACCAACCAATCGATCCGAATGGAAGAACCATATAGGATCCAGTTGTAAAACTACCCCTCGATTACTAACATAAAAAACACATGACAGTATCAATTTACAAGTAGGTTGAAAGTCTGTGTGATAAGCAGCCTGCATACTGTAAACATGTAAGTCTGAAGGTGCATTCGTCTGAACTGACTGTAGTTGACTGTGTACGTGATATGTAATCCCATACCAGTTTGCGTAGTAATTTTGTACGCCGAACCATGATACGAGTATCTCCAAAACAAATAAATCACTCGTATATGAGATACCATCAGATTATTCAAGCTGAAATAGGGATGATTTTCTTACATTCGACCAGCCTGCTCCAAAAATGATAATGACTGAGATTCGAAATCACAGTTCATTAGAAACCATTATTCAACCTGTTGTATCCATGTCTAAGGTGCTCCAAAAGCTTCATCAAGCCAGTGGCATCGGAGATTTCTAGCTTTCCTAGATGAATCAGCTACACATCCCTCACAAACCCGACTAAAGTTTCGGGTTTTAGCTGTAGGTACTTTTCCTTTAGACAAAATACTCTCGCCATAGAGTGATCACAGATTAAGAGTTGCGCAAAACGTACTCGAATAGACGCAACTCGTGTGAGATTTCCATGGAGTATGAACGAGGTCTGAGATACCGCTAGGAAAACAATGAACATTCTGAGAATATGCACGGACGGAAGTACTAGCAAGCACCTTTCATCTGAGAATAACACGAGTATCAAAAACAAGCCTAACAGTTTCTAGTTCTACGTACATGTTCTTTCACTAGCGAGCTTCACTGCTTCGTCAATTCGCGGTATTTAGATCAAATAGCTTCTTTTAATTGTCTTCAACCAGTTCAAGATTTGCGAATGTCAACCGTTCCAACACAATTTTCCCAATACTTTCGACAGATCGCGTGTGTTTTCCAAAAGCACGGGAATATCGACTGCGTAAAATGAAGAGTTCCTATCTCATCAGGTTGTTGAACAGGAGTAACAAAATGTCCCGGATACTGAATTCTATCGCGCAGCATTCTCGCTTACGTAATCAAGTCATTATGTGAGTCGGAAAGCAAGGGTTAATAACAGGCTCCACAAAGTTCACTTTCTGGCTTCGGCAAGCTTTCCACGGTGTGATCTCCTTCAAAATCCCCATTGGATTCCGGACATTCCGTTCGAAGCAAAAGTTCATTCGGAGATCAGTACTAACGCCTGACCACGGCGATTGGATATTCAATCGCCTATCTGACCCGATCATTACGCAGACGGGTAGTGTGGTGAAGAAAATCGTACTTAAAGGTATCTGGCAAACTTGGGTTGCTTCTAGTACCACAGTACCACATTATGCATTACTACACTGTGGTCGGTCGAGTTCATTGCACTCAGGCACACACACGTTATCTAACCCTCCTCCCTCAGGAGTAAAAACTGCTAAGATCTTAATTGCTATAACCGCTGTTACCGCCTCTTAACACCAGGTTCCTGATTCACAGATTAGCTTTCTAAAACGACTATTATCATAAAATGTATTCAGCGCATACCTAATAACTATATCTTATAATTCTCTGTTTCGTTGGGCTTACAATTGACGTCAGTTTTCATAATTGAACCGTACTTCGTCTCCAACGGACAATGCAGTCGATCAGGGGTACACAACCGACGCTTAATCATTTAAATAGTTCACCATAGTTTGCTCCTGGTGGTTATATCAATCGTTTTACAGCCAAATGGAACCGGAAAACAAAGGTCATAGCCCAAAGAAATAAATATATATTGTTTTGTTGAAGATAAGTTTTATCAAAACAAGTACAAAATAGACCAAGGAAGATTGAATATCAGCAATCGCCACTTTGGTACAGATTCATCCAGAAGCGTGAATAGCTGCCTAAAAAACCGTTCAAAATATAATCTCTCATCGGTAGATATGACTGACACGCACTGATATGCGAACATTGGCAAATGAACTGCAAAAAGAATAACCAAAGATAAACTGTGCGAAATCTTGCGTCTGTTTGGAAAGTCGTGTATGTTCATTACCGGACTGTGAGCAGATGTGCTGATTGTACAAGCGTACGACCTGGGGAGAGTGCGATCACGTATGACTAGTTGTTTCAAGAGGGGAAAGATCACCGAGTATTCCAGTACAAGTTCGGGACTCCTAGTTCTAATCAGATATGCTCGCTAGAGCAATACAGGTTGGCATACAATGATCGATTGAAACTAGGGTGGAGAGATCGGAAGATTCTTTCATACTGAATTCGTTTGACCAGCCAATATTCCATACACGTGTAGGCCACGGGCTCAAAGTTCCAGAAAAACTTATTTGCAAATAAGTGTGGCTGTTCAATCAGGATCGGAACATCACGCGCACCGAAGATGCACACACCGTGCACGGCATAACGACTGGGACAATCGGTCGCATTCCAGTTCACAAAACGCGCCAAAAACCACGATCGTGGATCGGTTGGAGTGATAGCATGTGGACGCAAGCACGCGCCGGGTGCGCCCAAATGTGGATTGTAGGCCAAGGTGGAGAATAAAAGTTCGTCTTGCACTTTGCGGAGGTGACTTTCCTTGCGCATGGATTCGATCAATTCTAACGAATAAGGATTACTGAACATGAACTGTACGAATTCGCGTCGCAGTGCAACTAGAAAACTTCCTTTGTGCCATTCAAACTGTTTCCCATCGTGTAGTGATGCGGAGCGTTTCGTAAGAAGCGACAGGGTGAGATAAAAAGTGAGAAATTATCAGAATTGTGAGAAATGCCAATAAACATCAAATATGCAGTGCCCATAAATTGGTGACGGTAACAAATTTTAAAATACACCACTCACTCTCACGAAACTACAGATCGCAACTGAGGCTATGAACTGCCCATCAAGCCTATGGCTGGTAGATACGACTCACTCTTGCGTGCAATTTGTTTGACTTGCTCTATTCCTATTGAGCGACCGAGATGATCAGCATTGCGTCGGCTCCCTCCCTCTTGCTCTCACGCGCACGCGTACATGTGAGCGGAAATACCAGCGCCTGTTGTCCTACCGATAAACTACATAGAGTAGGGATGGGAAAGTTACTCGACGGCACTCTATAGATCTCTGCGTCAATCAAACGAGAAAGAAACACTGAATGTCGTATGTTAGGCACACTGCATTTAAAAGTGTGCGTGTGTGTGTATGGGTGTGTGAGTATTTACTTCCTGGATGCGGATTAAGAACGAACACTTGACTGACAACATGAAGCGGATCAGCTCAAGCACATCATAAGCGGCAACGATAGAGGTTGCGCTCGTACTGCATGAGCAGTGTCTTTCAGATTACATTGATGAACCTACGGAACAGCGGAATTTTCCGACTGACATATAACTGATAACTTTTCAAGGAGTAATTGGTCACGTAAGTGAACGATCAGATATTAAATCATCGGCTCTACCAAAATGTCTTTTTCCTTTGAATGGAACTGATTTATGCGCGGACAAACTCAAGCATTTTACGGATAAATAAACCACCAATAACGATCAGCCGCTGACCAATGGTTGAGTGAAATTAGAACTGCAATGAACAAACCAGTCCTTATTTCACGGAGTAAACGAAGTTCTGAATACATAAATCAACAGACTAATCGGCATGTTTGTTCTAAATGAAAATATATGGTACACAAAGATCATTAACCTCGCCCTATTTCTACGTAATTTCTCGGTAATTCAGATACCCAAATTGATCGAATTTGGTAAGATTATGACGATCCAACTTGTTAACCTAGAAGGAAACTAAAACAATTTGATTGGGACTTTACAAAAATGATTTTCCTAGAAATATGACTTGGTGAGACGAAGTGCCGTTAACCTAGTCTCAGAAAAATGCTAGAAATGTCCTATTGGTGACAAAACACAACTACCCTTATGACTGAAACAAAACGCTCATGCATAACTGCTTCCAGGTTTCCGATTGTCTAAACCTGGCAGTTGTTTATCTAATGAACCACATCTGTATTTAATCCGTGAATGGAATGCACTCCCTTCTTATGCGCATGAATCTCTCTCATCAATGGACCCCAAACTTTTAAAATCTGGACAGTAGATTGAGCAGTTCATGGTCTTCATGTTCCTATGCACCGATCCCATTCTAATCAGTTGAACTCTGTGTGGAGGCATTATCGGGTTGAAAAATCATGATCTACGCTCGACTTTCTGGAATCGAGACGAATAATAATTTATTCAAGATTGTGATATTGGGTGAATTTCATCCCAGTGAACGGACTGTTGAACACGTGTTGCATCTCTTTCAGTTGGCGAGATCTTAGGATTAACTAGCTTTCGTCAGTTAGTCATTCTCACAACTTGTGTTTGACCACTCGAATTGCCAGGGTCTCTAGGTTTTGCATGCGTACCTCTGCAATGAGTCCTGAGATGCGTGCTCCCCCTGGGATATCTCGGATCAGTTCATACAGTTACCCGTTGAATGTAAAATCTCCTATCCTAAATTGATGAATAAAACGAACTGAAGAGAAGTGACTGTAACTCGGTGTGTAATAAAAACAAACGACACGGAACAAACTTTCAACCTTCAAAACAACGATCTGGTTGCACAGAAACTCTGTTTAGACTGGCAAACAAGCATCACGGCACCCTNAAGCATCACGGCACCCTCCAATCTCAAAAGTCAAGGGAAGCCCACCTATTATAAGTGTTTTGACGTAATATATACCGATAGCACTGTGTCCCACGTTGCCCGCATAGGACACAGAAGAAAAAGCCTGCAACCGGATGGTGGAGGAAAACCAAAAATATGAATCCAGAAGACCGATTGGCGATTCCCAAACATTACCACAAAGTCAAAGAGTCTCGGAAATGGGATGGAGAATATTAGAACCATCATTAATCTTGGTGAGGCACAGGACAAGGTCGACAGAAAAGCAATGCTACCAAGGTCAGAGGATCTATTGTTAAAATGTGACCCGTTAAACGCTCCAAACGAAGTAAAGTTTCAAGACTAAGAAAAGTACTATGTTTGGCAAACCAGGAGTAATGTGAAGGCATGACTAAATGCACATATATTGGTGGTGGTCAGAAGGTAGAAAAGTTGAGAATATGCTCTTCAAGTTGGAGGAAACGGAATAATCGGGAGAAGAGGTAGCAAATCTATCACACAATGCCTTGAAGCATGGCGCTC